ACCGCATACTATCTTTGTGATACATTCATTGAAAACACGAGTTAGACACTGGTAACTGGCGATACGAAGCATCTGTTTTAAGTAGAAGATATGTGTGAGAAACGTACCTTTTTTGTTGCACGAAACCCGGCGTGTGAAAATTTCGTGGCCTCTTGCTAAGGTTTAATCCGAGTGGTCCGGAAATCATGAATGATGATACTTGGTGTATTTATATAGCTACCTTGTATTATGTTCTCAGTTCAACATAGACAACTTAGCCTAGTTCTGGTCTTAGATGATTGTTGACGTCGAGAGTACCCAGCTTAGCCTGAGAGAATAAGACGTCATCCTCACTGCAAGACTACCGTTTCTCGACTATTGGATAGCTTTCGAAGGAGCGTTTGATAAATGTTATTTTTTCGCCACTCCAGCCACTGACGTCAGTTTTGTGTATTCACAATTCTCATAATCGATATTTCTCCCCCGATAATCTTTTTCGAAAATAGTCCTTCTAACGAACGATACATTTGCACTCAGTGTATCTGGGTCAAACGTATGTTTGTCTATGAACAAAATACAGTGTACCAAGTTACGCTTGTTTGTAAGCAGCACATGTCCATGGAGGCTTATGTACTATTCCTTCCGTGTGAATGTTTGCTGTGTCCGAATGGTTTCATTAGATGAACGCTCAGGAAGAGTAATTGATTGTCTTCTTCATCCTCAAATGTGATGTATATCCCTGAAGGGGACATGTTGAACCCGAACCAAACTTCATTGAAGTCTAAATTTTCATTGGATACAAACTAGCTGTCTGACCGTGCCCACTGCAATGGAAAAAAACAATTTACGTTTATATTTGTGGTTTCCTCTTCCGTTTTTCAAAATAGAATCTCTCCAAGGATTGATTCAAGGGTAACCTCATAACAACTCTGTCTGTTTGGCGATAATACTTGTGTAACTAAGTGAGAATTGTTATTCGAAGGTAATATTGAGCATCAATTCATTGAGGATTTCAGCTGGAATACGGATGGATATTGTTCCTTCTAAACAACTCTCTCCATCCTGAAATAGGAGAATCTGTGTTCTGCTTTGAGTTCTACGTGTCTTACTTTCCGCACTTTTGAACGTCTCATTTAGGAGTAACCATTAGGTGGCTGCGTAAGACATTGAGTTTGTCGTCAAAAGTACGGGTCGGGAGTTCAAATTCCGGATGAGACGGTGGATATGCACTAATGATGAGCTCTAATAAGAGCGAAAGTCGAGCGTGCGGTTGAATCTATGAACTGAGGATTGTGCGTGAAGTTGAAGGCCTTTTGGTAGTATTGTGATGTATCCCGATCTAGTTCAGATAATTCTTGCAACGAGTTTGATATAGCTTTGAAACCCATACTTCCCGATCTTTCTTAACATTTTCAGCTGCTTAATTGGGGCTACTTAAGAGTGTTCTCTGAGGCTCTCACGATGCTCCTGTGATAATGGACCCATATTACGTAATTAACAACACGGAAATCGGTGGCAGACTGTGACCACTAGTGATTGGTTTTGATTTAATTTTCCAACCAACCTAGACGCAGAGTCAGTTGAGATCTTTAAATCATAGTTTTAATTCAACTTGACTTACGTTGTAATCTGGGTAGCGATAAATTAAACCTGAAAGTGGAGATGAATCTCATGAACCACCAACATCTGGATTTAACCAGTTTGTCACTGTATTTCGTTTATTTTCTTGCAGGTCGTATTTATTTGGTAGTTGAGCTTTCGCTCCGTTCGCTTTAAATGATCGATAGATAAGCATCGATTGCCATTCGCTTTCTTAGTGCATTTTCGGCTTTGCTTAGTAAATAGGGCTTTTGTGGATAGTGGGTGGATAGGTGAATATCGACTGAAAAGTGACGTCCTTGTATGCAGTGTTGTGGTATAGATAGTTTCAAGTGAATTAAGATTTCGCTATGTGGAAATTGTAGGGTGAAATAGGCTGAAGTGAATGAAATCTAAATAATAGGGGAGCATATAACGATGGCACGGCTGACACAGACCAATTAAGCAGCACCGGAAAACTGCATTCATTCCAGCTACCATACCAAAAAGCACTCGTTCCGGTCTGAACGTAGCCCAGACCAAGTATGTGTTTTTTTGCTGGTCTCGAATAGCAGCAATGACCGATTTGAGCAACACATGTGGAATCGGATCGATAATGTTTCGACTTTCGTATCACCCATTGAGCTCGTATTTGCTCCTTCAAACGTCACACATTGACCTAGTTGGTCGAGTCTGCTTACATTGAATAAATCTTTATCCCCGATACAGATCCACATGCATAACTGTCAAACTTAGAATGTCGGGTCAAATCAAGCCAAGGAATCGGTTTATACACCCCATGGGATGAATATTCAACAACCACATAACCACAGTATGTTCACAATAAAAAAGAAATATATTACAGCAAGTAAAAATGAAACGGTCAGCAGCATCACAAAACCAATGGCATACAGTGGTGTTTATCATCAGTTTAGACTAGCATTTTACGAGGATTTTTTGCAATGAGTTCATGGTTTGGGAGAAATCTGACGAGATACCGGACAATAAAGCGCCTGTAAGCCTCAGTGTGTAACTGAAACGAGTGAAGGAATAAGAAAGGCACTGATTAACAGCAGGATTTAGGAGATGGGAACAATCGGATAAAATCTTCTTGGCGAATTCCTACAGGACTTCAGTTAGTATACCATCACATGCTGTGACAGATTTGCCAGTGATTTATTACTACATACCGACAGAAACTTGAGGGATCGGGAAATGAGTTTGTGGTCCTTGTTAGATTCATACGAATGTTCCTTTGTTGAGACCACTCCACTATTTCTGACATGTCATCTTGTGCAGTGACCTGAGATGATGGGTTGGGGTAGGGCGGTCAGAAAATTATATCATGTTCGTACTTAACAAGAAGAGAAGAAGTGCTTACAGCTATAGAGGAAATGTAAGCGAAAATTAGAAAATACCTTGTGAGGAGGGCAGCAGCGAACATGTGTATCCTTTGTGGTGTGACGGTTGGATTAATAGTTGGCCAAGAGTTCTATTGTAGGAGGTTGAACGCCATTTGAAGAGAGGGTGTTAAGCAATATTTGCCTATCAGTCGTGTTCAAGGTATCAGAAAAGTACATTGAAAACATGTGAACAGTCTTGATTTTCTTATCAGGTTTGGATAAATCAAAGTGGAAGCAAGAGCAAGCAAGAGCATTCAGGGTATCTCGGAAATGGGTGAATGCAAACTGGTGTGGGTCACTAACACTGAACTTTGTAGACAGGCTCTTAATGAGGAGCCCGTCTAACACCTTCAAAACAACTGAGGTGCAGGCAATGGGACGAAATTTTGAGGAGCTTTTCTTCGGTACAGGAGTGGTTGAGGCTATTCTCCAGCAGGTGGAAATTGTTTACTGTGAGATAAGATTATTCCAAAGTTGACACATTACAGGGGAAAGTAAAGCAACACATTCCTTTGGGATATCAGGCGAGACTACATCAGGACCACCGGACTGGTTAAGATTTGATGGGGTCAACTCTTGATAAATTGCGACAAGGGCAGCACTGGTAACAGGATCGGTCGTAGTCATATCACTTCCATTGGGTATGGCAGACAGTGCGTTTCCGTTGTTGATGAAGCTGTGATTCGGACCCCCTAAAGCCATAGCACTAGGTGGGCCGTGTGAGGATTTGATGCAAGAAATCCGCATGAGGGCGTGCCAGTTACCACGACTAACTCTGCTGTCAAGCCACGTCAAGCATGAGCGTACAAAGGTTCGGCCTGCGAAGTTCACCCCGGATGGATTTACAAAGAGTGCCCACCTCATTGCGCTTATGCATTCTGAAGGCACGCTCCTTTCTGTGACGAAGTTGCTTGAGTTGTCTGGATGAGAGTCGATCGAGGCGGCTTTAAAATGTGTCTAAGACACAACAGACATGTTAACAAAAGTTTAGGTAACTGGTTAACTGATCAAAGAAAACGGATAAGTTAGGATCGGGAGACAAAGTCAGGCCGGATCGATTGATCATTTCCGTAGTCTCGTGGGGTGTTTGGGAAGACTCCGTTCGGCTAGCAATATGTAATCACGACTTCGAGTAAAGGAATGGTGTTTGGTTCTGCTAAACATTGTAGAGAAAAGTTTTAAATTTGTGTGATCAGACGTCCCTAACGGAAGTGAGCATTCTACAGAAAACAGATTAGGAAAGTTGATCCACCCCAAATCCAGATGTGCATGAAATCTGGTAGGAAAGATGGCAATGTTTGGAAAATGCAAAGTGATTAGGAAATGGGTATAAGAAGTATTTGAGTCAGCAAATAATACAAATTGAAGTATCTACGTATTCTGTCAATATAGTTGAGTGTCGTAAAAATTAATAAGAACATCAAATGAGCAAGAAGGGACTATATATATATATATATATATATATATATACATTCACCAGAATGAGAGACCTAGAAAAACTTAAATGTTTCTGCTTATTTTGTAGCACAGATGCATTTATATGTAAGGTAGAATAAGAGAACATGTTTTTGGTTAGGTGATACCGCTGATTTCTAATAAATATGGCAACACCACTAACCCCTTCTGAATTTGATAAAAGGATGATTACTTGGATAGCTAGCTAAAGTATCCAGGTGTACTATTTCATCATCTATTCGGTTTTGAAGTCAGCTTTCTTGAGGGATGATCACACCAAGCTGGGACTATTCCCTCAATTAGGCTTATTTGGTGAAACCGGCCGTATTTCTGACGATAGATCGGACGTTTTAACTGAGAGTGATGGGGACATACACACGGGAGATGGTTTGTTTCCGAAAAGCAATTCTCCAACCGGCGCAACGCTTTCTCGGATTTTTCAAAAGCTTTCTGACTGTTCTTTTGACTTTATTCCTTATTGTTCTTCCAAAACAAGTGGTATCTTCACATTTATTCAGGTTGATTGAAACATGAAATCACGAATGTATTGTAATGCGAACGCGCTCCGGGCTCTCGCAACGCAGGATGCCCCTCGGCTCGTATTCTCGCAGCTGGAGACGATACGAGGCTTTGCAGGGCACGAACGACAGTGGGCAACGGCGGCAGAATGGCGGTGCTACCGGGACACGGAGTGGCGAGGAGACATTGGTAGACAGATTCTCTGTTGATCGGGATTAAAGATAAACCGTCAAGGCAAAGCGACTAAAATGCCATGAACCGTGAGATACAAGTACTCACGATAAAATATTACTGGTTCGGTTGACAAACCCCAAAGTGTTTGACCAAATTAGGTATTACTATAGTCGTGCAATGGTCACCTTAGTAAACAAGCAAAAAGTTCATACGAAGGACGCAAAAAACCGGAGACTGATGGTTATGCAATGAATTATCCGAAGATGGAAGAAAATAGCGCAGCCGAAAATTGCAGGCCTCGCCGTAGAGGAATCTCTTGCTTCGTGTAGTTTATCAAGTATTCATGGTTATGATTTGCAAAGCCATTAAACGACCTGCTATTTCAATGAACTTTTTCTAACATACTCATCGGATTCACAATCAACCGTTTAGGATGGACCTGGAATGATATTCTTTCACGAAAATGTCTGCACGTATTCACAACCTTAGTTTATTTCGGATAATGTTCACACTTTGGTGGTCTGTGCCTCTGTTTCCATTATATGTGAATGGCCATAGACCACGGTCCAAACGTTTCTTGTTGGTCTGGTTTATAAATTGCTATTCGTTCTGCCTTGGGATAAATGTGTTATTTGTGGTGTTTTCTATCTAGACAAAGCAAAATCATGATTATAATCACAATTATTTGCTGATCTGGTGGGTGCTTATGGACCGAGTTAGTACATATTTCGTTTCCGTCTTTCCTTAAAATAACCAATCTCTCATATTGATCTAGACCAGAGTGGAATCGATCTAAGGAGATGGACATGTTTGATGAGGCTTGCTTGAGAAAATAAAATGGTTCAAACTGAGCATTGATTTCTAACTTTTTAATGCTCTTATCATTTATAGAAGCATTCCTGCGAGCGGTGTTCTTTCGCGAATATTTTGTCATTCTCCGAAGTTGCTAGCTATCCGAGTCAGAGCACCATTGGAGGTAGATGGTTATTTGTTCTGTCATTCCTCGTACCCAACCAGCGTGACGGAGTTGATAATATCTACGAAAGCAACCTGAGTTGTTCGCCGAAGCACCATGTATTGCATCCGAGCCAAACTTAGACCAGTGTTCTCTACATCACCGGTGATACGAATATAAGTGCTAGACAAACTGTCGAAACTGACCCCATCCATGATAATTTACTGCTTTAAGTGCGTCTGTGGCATATGTTACATAGGTCGTACGGTAAGGCGTTTGTCTCGGCGCGTTAAGGAGC